CCCCCAAGGCAAAACCTTAAAAAAAAAAAAAAATTATTTCTTCAAATTTGCTATAGGGCACATGCACTCACCAGAGAGGGACAGACAGACAGAGAAAAAGGGGATGAGGAAGCAAGTCCAGGTCCAGGACTTGAACCACAATCAGCCATGTGGAAGCCTAGCACCTTTACCACACCACCTGCTGGCCCCTGAAAGACTTCTCTTAGCCACTACTCCCCACAGACCCTAATGGTTTCCATTTTGCCCACGAAGGAGTCCACACATCCATGCACTATGTCCGTGTGTAACTGTTCTTAGGGATCCTTCTCTGCCCCACTGTACATTTGTTCCTGTAGGTTCTCCCATGGGGGGGGGGGGGAGGAGAGAGAGAAGACTCTATTTTCTGAATCTAGCACCCAATCCAGAATGCCCAATATAGGAGTTTTCACAAGAAATTTATGGAGCAGCTGACTCATGATTCCTGGGGATATAATTATCCAAGTCATGAGGAATCCGCAAAAACTTCACTTTCGCCTTCACCAATGGCTTTAATTTCCTTCCCTGCCTGTGCATGACCCTCAGCCCAACTTCTAATCAAAGGTGTTAATGAGAATAGCAACGCACTAATTTGGGTGTCCTTTCCAGGCTACTCTCTGCTAGTGAGAAAGCGGGCTGGCCTCAATGAAGAGAAAAAGCAGCCAAGCCCTCCAACGAAGGGCGGCCATGCAGACTGGGACGAGGCCTTGGGCGCTCCCTTAGGCCTCAGGCCCGCTTCAGCTGCGGCAGGCATGCTGTTCCTGGCCAGTGGTCCCGGCCACCCCAAACTGGGTCCCTACCATCTTCTTCTCGGTGAACTCCATCACCAGCTTGTCTGCCAGCTTCTCCTGAGCCAGCAGCTCTGCTTTTTGTTTCTGGTTTTCGTCATTGATGCGCTTAATCTCGGCTTGCATCTTCAGTTTTTGCTGGTGCCTCCGTTCCATGTCCTACGAGTAAACAGAACGCGGCCTCAGAGGAGGAAGAGCACGGAGGGAGAGGAGGATGTGGATGGAGACGGGCAGGCAGAAGCACCTCCTGCAGTTGGTTTCCATTACTGTCCTTGGCTAACGCTGCTCTCTCAAGGAACACCCATGATCTCCTCTGCCAAATGGCCTGTTTATCTGTCACCCAGCTTGACTTTGTGACAGCCTCAACACTTGATCTACAGGCTCTTAGGAAATGGAGGCTCTGAAAATGCGGCGTCTCCCACAGGCCATGCCAAGTCCTCTCCCCCTGGCTTTGCCCATGCTGCCTTCAAGGTCTTTCTCCTCTGTAAACCCAAACTTTCCATCCCCACTCAATAATAATGATGAAATAATAAAGAGTGCCCTGAGGACATTCTATTCCTTGGACATTTTGCATACATTATCTCCAACTATGTCCAAAAACCCTGCAAGGGAGTCCTTGTTATCTCTTTCTCACGCAGATAAGAAACTAGGGCCTGGTGCGAGAGTGACTTGCCCAAGGCCATGCAGCCAGCGAATTCCAGAGCTCCGTTGTTGAACCTGTTCTGTCTACTTTCAGCCTCCATCCTGCTCTGGAAATCTTACTTGACTGCCTCAACTTTCAGTTTTCCCCACACTTCGGCATTACTCCCCACCA